TACCATAAGTAGTCGAAGTATTGTCGAATATTTTTGAGGTGCTGCTCCACTCATGCTAGTTACGCTGAAATACCACTCGCGAGTGGTTATTAAAAAGCGTAACTAGCATGAGTGGAGCAGCAGCTCAAAAATAATCTACAAATACTTCGACTACGAATGGTATTCGGAGGACTATTCAATGAATCAAAAGAAAAATTAAGCATAATTACCCACGCGAATGTATTTCCATGACAACAATAAACGTCAAAATAAATTACGGAAGTTGCTTTTTATTTTGCTATTGATTCTATTCGAACTTTTGTGCTCCAAGCTAATTCGTTATGAGTGATTAAATTAAAAGATGTGGTGATGTCGCTTGTCGAAATTGATTAACAAACTAAGAAGAATGTTCCGGTTAATACGACAAAATTTCGCGACATTTCACTGGTGGAAGTTTGACAAATGTCATTGAATAATCGCATTGAATTGTCGCTGAAATACCACACGTGAAATTATCACTTATAATTGCACAAGAGGGTTGTATTTTACCGAGTAAATTTGGGGTGTTTAGGTAATGAAAATCTGTTGCCTAGCAATTAGACGAGAAAAACTGTCAACTAATAAAAATGCGACACCGCAGGTGGAGCATTTTTAGGTTGACAGTTTTTCGAGTTGAATTGCTAAAAGGAAACAGATTTGAGTTGCAACAACCCAAATTTACTCGGTTTAAATACAAACCTCGAGTGTAATTCGGCAGGACAATTTAACGAACAAGAAATTCACCAAGCTAATCAATTATTGACAGACGTCAAGCTAGTCATATGGGAAAGGATAATGCGATAATTGGTTCGAAAATGAATAGTGACAATTCAACTCATGTATAAAAAATCGCATAAGCCGCAGTGAAATTGTCACTTTGACAGCGGCAAAAGTTACCTGCAACTTTTCCAGCGACAAATGCACTAGTGGTTTTTTCACTTATTCATTTTCGAACCAATAATCGCATTATCCTTACCCATATGAATAGTTTGACGTCTGTCAATAATTGATTAGTTTGGTGAATTTCTTGTTCGTTAAATTGTCCTGCCGAATTACACTCGAGGTTTGTATTTAAACCGAGTAAATTGGTGTTGTTGCAATTCAAATCTGTTGCCTTTTAGCAATTGAACTCTAAAAACTGTCAACCTAAAAATGCTCCACCTTCGGTGTCGCATTTTTATTAGTTGACAGTTTTTCTCGTCTAATTGCTAGGCAACAGATTTTCATTACCTAAACAACCCAAATTTACTCGCTAAAATACAAACCTCTTGTGCAATTATAAGTGAAAAAACCACTAGTGCATTTGTCGCTGGAAAAGTTGCAGGTAACTTTTGCCGCTGTCAAAGTGACAATTTCACTGCGGCTTATGCGATTTTTTATACATGAGTTGAATTGTCGCTGAAATACCACACGTGAAATTATCGCTGAAATACCACACGTGAAATTATCACTATAATTCGTTCCCATTGGCTCAATAATTTGAAATCTCGACATTTCACCGGTCGAAATGTGACAAATGTTAGATGAATTGAATAGTCCCCAAAATTGAATAGCGTATTCTCAGGAAAACAAAAATACTCCCCAATATTCAAAACTCTTAGCAAATTAAACGTCCAATTAGAACCCCCCCCCCCCCCCCAATTCAACATTACAGTTAATTACACTTATCTAAATAGTCGGAATGAAATCTCTAAATTCGGCAGTCAAGCAATGCCCTTTTGTTCCTTGGAATGTGAATCCAAACGGGTCAATCTGTTATCATGTTGATATTGTCCTTAAACTGCACGAGTTTTCCGTTGTCACTCCTGGATTTTCGTATACCATTAGAAAACTGAAATCGATTAATCGGTAATTAACGGACCTAAAACTTAATAAGATTTCTTAGTAACGAAGCGCCCAACTTAAAACGCTTCTAGCTACCGAGTGTTCAGCAAAGCTGGTCGACATCACAAATATACTGTGTGGTCATAACTACGGATAACTTTGTTACACACCCCCCTTTCTTCGGCATATCCTAATACAAACAAAACTCCTGGACGGATAAAGCAGGACGGAAGTTTACTTGCGGGATACGGTCGTCAAATTTATACCTGCTCCTCATCGATACGGCTTTAAATCCTGGACGTGGACTCTTGGGATCTTCGTTCGTTCGGACGGATGAGTGATACTTACTATCGGGGATTTCACTTTGTGGATCGCATACGGACCGAAATACTTCGGAGCCAACTTCGCGGCATATCCCATGGCAATTTTAGACAAAGGGTGATCTTTTCGGAAGGCCACGTGCGGTTTCCATTCTCGGTTGAAATGGTGCGCCTGCTGGAAAACGCTCGGCCTATATTCTTAGCAAGTAACTGAAGATTATCTAGATGGGTACGGTGTTCTAAAATTTCCACGGTCATGTCGGTAGAAGTATCGGGATTCGGAGACTCTTGTCGACGGAGAAAACTATTCGACAGGGGACGTTCATGGGCAAAAATCCGGTAGAGCATGGCATCCCCACTGTGACCATTTTCTTCACAAAATTGAGCGATCGTGGTTTTCAAACTTCGGTTGGCACGTTCTACGGAATTGGCTTGCAGAGGATAGGGTGATATGGAACGGTGGATTATTCCAAGTTCGGCGAGGATCTTTTTGAAATTGCGACCCCATTATCTGTAATGGGACGGCCAATTGACATTTTTCGGGATTGATTTGCCTAACGAAGACGATGTCTGCCAATGCTCTTGTTCCAGTTCAATGCTGGAGATATGGCGGGGTTGGAGAATGAGGTCTAAAATCTCATTTATGAACGGAAACGGATAGGCTTCTTTAATAGTGACTTTTCGCAAATCAATACAGAAACGCATCTTGCCATCTTTCTTTCGAACATGATATTTTCGGCTAGCATACGATCTATTTCCTCGTTCACAAGACCTTGTATTCGGGGATTTGGGGGACGGTATCGTTGCTTAATCGGCGTTTGATGTTATACTCAATGAAGTTTTCGAATGGTCGACCTGAAAAATTCTAATCATTCGGTTCCTTCGACGTCGGTTGACGGTGTGATAACGGAACAAGTAATCCATTCCTGAGAAACGGAACTAACTCAGGGAACAAGGGCACTGCTAAGATTTTCATGTTGAAATGGAGGTCGGTTTGAGAAAGAAAATTTATTCCAAGGAGTACTCCGTAACTGCGAACGGGGGCATGATGGGCTAAGTTAGAATTTTCGCTTTACCGGATGTTGACTAAAATTGAACTGCTAGATAAATTTAACGAAATTCTATTGCTAAAAAACTGGACAGAGATGGCGACACTAAGTGTGCGTTTACAATGAACGTATACGTAAGAAATACATAAAACGTAAAAATTTCGCAAAGTTGAACTGTATAGAAACATACGAAGGTGTTTACAATGAACGTAATTTTTACGTACGTATATGTAAGCGATATGTAAGTCTTGCGCATAGTCGCAAAGGTTGAAAATGTTTCAAAGTTACGTACGGTCAAATATCATACTACTTGTAGTATGATCTTTGGTTTATTGTAAACAGCGAAGTAAATTTACGGACACGATACGAATATGTACGAGTTACGGTTTATGAAATATTTACGTATACGTTCATAGTAAACGCACACTAACTCTTCGTCTACTCTACCTCATGTTCGGGACCTCAAATGGGGCAAACTTTAACCGGTGACTTAAAAAATTTAAAGCTACATGAAGAAACTTATCAAACAATCAAGGATTCACGGAAATGAAGTTTGTGTAAAAATATATGAAACGGTGGATGGCGTAGTTAGACTATTCCAACTTAAATACGCCGAGTAGATTGTAACTCTATACTAATCATTAATCAACTCTGACATTTGACATTTGTGTGTGTGTGATTGCTCAGATATGCATGTTCCTTTTTCCCTAGAAAATGAATCACCTCAGCTCCATAGTGATTAAAAATATGTAGAAAAATAATGTTGTATGCATTTGTGGTAATTAATCAGAATAGTAAAGATATTTTTAATTTTTGTATCTGTAATAAAAATTAAAGAATAATTATTCTTTAAAATGATAAATAATTACAAACCTGCTATTTTGCAGGTTTGTTATCATTTATCATAGTCTTGAAAGGTTTTTTTTTTCCAAAGTTCAGAATTTATTTTTCAATGATTATTGCCATGTCCACTGAGGTCAAAATCCTTTTAAAGATCCGCCACCTGGTGGGGAGTTTTGATTTTTTTTACAAATTGGAAAAGTGCCTACTCAACAACCTAATGAAATTAGTTATTACTTATCCAGGTATAGGTATGATTGGTGTATGGTCCAAAAAAATCGAAAAACCAAGGAAAGTTTTGATCTTGCTTTTTGACAATCCAATGGAACTAAATGTGGCGTTCTCTATGGAAGCTGTCATCCACCGGCCATCAAGCTCCGAAATTGTATTACAAAGTGTTCTGTGTGGTATTAAGGGAACACGTGTTAATCCTAACTGCAAGTCATGTAAGCAGTAACCGTGGCCCAAATCTAAGGATCTAATTAGTGTTTACGAAAAGATACGCAATTTTTAAATTAAAAACGCCCAAAGTTTCCTCGTAAATTATTTCCAATTACATAATCGCAGAGATTAAGTTAGTGTTTTTTTTTCGTAAATACTTTTATTAAACAATTGCCTGTGTGATCTCATGTCGTTTTGAAGGTATCGCGAGAGGAAGCCTCACTACTACCTAATTAGAATCTTGAAAAGGTTGCGTGGTTTCGGCACGTTCGGCGTATTGGTGTTGACGATCTTCAGCGCTACTGTTGTGTCATCCAGTTACACAGTAAGTAATATCTAGTTTCGATTACAAAATCGTTTTCTGTATAAGTCAAAGGATATCATCCAATTACGATAAGCCGGAGGATGGGGGTTTAGTGTTTGATTGCGCGGGTCCGCGTTACCTTTTTTTTCGCTTTTGGAGGGAATTTGTGATGAGCGAGCTTTAATCTGCTTGCGTAATTCTTAGAAGGCTATCGCGTTATTGCCTTTACTTCATAAAAACGGACCGATAGATAATTTACGGTCAAAAGTTAAGTGTTTAGCAGCCATTGTAGAGATATTTCGCGTGAAACGAAGCCCCGTGTTAGTAGAAAGTAAGTACGTTTTAATTGCGACTTTAGTAACTAATTAATGTAAATTTATTGCATATTATTGAATGCATTGGCGAAGGAAAGGTCAGGTTAGCGTTGTTTTGGGTTACATAATAATTATTGTTCTCCTTGAAAATGTTCGTCATCGGAATTTATAAGGATTATTAATTTTCGACAAATACAGAGAAATGCTCTAGTGTGCGAAATTGAAAAGAACTTAGGAAAGTTTACAACATTAACTTAAAATTTTCTGAAGACACGGTTTTCCTTTCAACATTAATCTCGACCATTTGCTTTTGTGAGTTTCTGCGTCAGTGTCATCCACAATGAAAAACGAACAAAGTTATCTTGCCCTTCAAATATTTGCTATCGTGCCGGAATCTTAAAAACGGAGTAAGTAGTCCATATAAGATGAAGGGAGAACTTTTACCATCCCTCCAAGTGCGACTCTCGTGGACCCTTTGCATAAGCGAGTAGAAACCGGTGCGGTTTTAATTAAGCACGATAATCCACAGATCCAAAATCAATTGATACTTGCGAGAAATTCTCCTTTTCATCAAAATCTTAGGATTTGAGGTAACTCCACAAAGGATGCCCAGTCGATAGGAAACTTTCTAATTAAATATTCTCCCTTTACAAGCGATCCTAGTTCTCGCCAATCAGAAGCAAGACGAGGGGATTTATTTAGAGCATCGCGAACGTATTTTTCCCATCTCGATATCAGGAAATGATCTTATTGCGCCTGATTTTAATTGCTACATCATAATAGTAACATAAGCAAAACATATAGTTCGTAGAATTTAAGCGATAACCTCCAGATTCATCCTGACACACATAAATATAGTATTGGGAACAGTCTTCACAATGAAACGCAAAATTCGCTACTTAATTTGGCGTGACCGAAAATTAGGAAGGAAGTAATTACGCCTTGTTACACCATCAATTAGGCAAAATAGTAAAGGATTTGATTTGTACGAATACTTTACCGTCTTTTTTGATAATTACAATGTAAATTTTGTTACGTGACCACGTCAAGGTTTGAAAACATCTTCAGTGCGGTCACATTAACACGCGTATCATTTCAGACCAAGGGCAGAGAGAGGTGATTACGTTCAAAAGTGCCGTAATGAGTCTTAGGGGTAATTTATCGCTCACTTTCTCCTAGACTCAAACTTTCTAGATGTTTTACATCTCACTTTTGTATGTTACATTTTTCAGTTAAGATCTATTATCAGATCGAGTCACTTTCGATCTACAACACTCAAACCGATGAGTGGTAGACTCACTAACAATTGGTTACGGAAACGCGAACTGGTATTAGAGGGATAAAATGGCCTGAACTCCACACTTCAGAATAGTAAATTGAATTTGAGAAATCATCACATGTAATTCAAATTAGTCAATTAGTCAATAGATATAGTGTAAATAGTTTTTCAAAGTCATTTGTAATTCAGAATTCGTTACTTCCTTTAAAAGTTAAATTATCTCGGAATGTGATTTTGTTAACGTCAAGGTAAGGTGTTCTGTTCTGATCTGATCTGAATTACAATCTAAATTACTGAATTACATTTTACACTTTCCGAAATTGAAATTGCTGTTCTGAATTACATGTGATGTGAGTTTCTTAATTACAACTAACATTTTCTGAAATCCAATTGATTAATCTAAATTACAATCAATGTTTTCTGAAATTAAATTGATTAATCTGAGTTACATTTCATGGTTTCTGAAATTCAGTATACTACTCTGAATCACATTTAACATTTTCTAAAATACAATTAACTACTCTGAATTACAATTAATATTTGGTGAAATTTAATTGACTAATCTGAATTACATGTGATGGATTCTTAGTCCAGTCAAATTATACGGAAAAATGCTAAATGGTTACAAAAGGTCCGCGGTTGAAGATTTTATTTTTCAAGCTTGTTTAAATAGTAACGAGAGAGAAAAATCCAAGTTTGCCAATGCCCACTGACGTCGCGTCGGGAGAAATTTCTGACTTTTTTCGGTTTTTTTAAAATAACTCACCAACCGTAATACTTAGGTAGTATAAAAAGTACCTTCAATTTGATATTTTATTTGACCCCCTAATATCCCACATAGCATTCGATAAATAATGTATATACATTTTAAATCCATAATGTACAGGGAGTATCCTGTCCATCTTATGTATATGTATACTATGTATATTCATTATAGACATATGTATTTTATGTCCAGTATGGATATTCTATAAATATACATTTTGGATGTGATATGGATGTTTAGGCACACACATTGTATGTATCTTTTATGTATAAATCTCACCTCCTCACGAGGATCTTCTATGTATATACGTTTTGGATTAGATACATGCGTTTTCTGTATTACCAACGTTACAAACGTTAGCGTCTCATTTTCTGTGAATTACGGCGATGAAGACAGTAAGGTGCTATTGCAAATACAGTTCATCCGCGAGCTATTAATGAGTTTGTTTGTCTAATTTGGACAGTGAAAGTAATGATTTTTATTACGTGTGTGCATGACCTAAAGTTGCAAATATGTGTTAGTAAGATGTAAAGACTGGATGGGAATTAATATAAGGACAAGGATGGCAGGTATGTTAGCAACCTATTTGTTATGAACTCGCGCTATTATAGTGTTGAACAAGAACACGATCCAGATGACTCCAGTGTTAAATAAAACACATAGTGGGACCACTAATTTGTCTCAGATTGTGTATCTACATGCATCTAGTGATGGCATGTCAAAATTTTGGGGGTAAATACACGTCCAATCCTTCATGGTATTTTAATGAAAGGTCTCATCGAAATGAATTGGTTTCTACAAACTATAACCTTCCTGCGCGACTCCGTTTCAACATCACTGGGTGACCGACGGGGTGGGGGGTATTATCTTCCATGGTATTCTAATTAAAAAGGAAAAAAGTAACTGTTTTTTAACCCCTTATCAAAAGGGGGGAGGTTGAGGGGGGGACTTGTTTTATCCTTCATGGTATTCTAAAGAATGAACCCAACGAAAGGACCTTTTACCAATCATAGTCTTCCTCCTCGACCCATTATTGTGATCGCTTATAGTTACTTATATCTCAAAAGCGGATTTTCTGGAAAGGGTACTCACAAAAGGCGATTGGGACGTCTTCAAGAAATATATTTTTTGCAGATTTTTGACCACAGAAATTTCTCCCGACGTCAGTCGAATTGGTAAACTTGAATTTTTCTCTCTTTACCATTTACCATTTTACCATTTAAACTGACGTTCAATGACCACATTCATCACATAGTTAGAGAGAGTGTAAAAGCCTACGGTTTTATTGTTAGAAACTGTCAAGATTTTTCATCTCTGAAAGCATTAAGGCAACTTTATTATTCATACGTCAGATCCAAATTGGAGTATGGGTCTTTGATCTGGAATCCTTGTTACGACACGTACATCTCGTCTATTGAAAGAGTACAAAGAAAGTTTTTGAAGTACTGGTATTTAAAAGCGGAAGGCGTTTACCCTGAAAGGAATGTTAAATATGGTGTACTTCTGGAATACGCTGGATTCGAAAGCCTATCTGCGCGAAGGAGGTGTACAGCAATGGCATTCCTATATAATTTGTGTGACAACTTAGTGGATTGTCCAGAATTGATTCAGCAGTTAAAGTTTCATGTGCCTCGACAGCAATCCCGAAACAATATTACGTTCTTCTGTCCTAGAGTGAAATCATACACTTTATTAAGATCCCCAATACATTTCATGTGTGACACATTTAATAAAATTAGTAATGAATGTGATATATTTACCTGTAGTAAGAACTATATTCTTGAAATAGCGTCTAAATAATTCCTAATATCTTTGCGTAGGTACTTTATTTTCAAATCATTTGTTTGTTTTTTTTTTATATTATTTGTTTCTGCTGAGTATTTTTTTTTTATCTTTATTTTTTTGTTCTCACTTTTAGCGTTTATTACTAATCTAAGATTAATAACTTTTCTTTATGTTTTTTTTCGCCTTTGTCCTGTAATTGGGTGTTCCTGTTGGGCAAATAAAGCATTATTATTATTATTATTATTATTATGGTCGGTGTTTCTTGTGAGAACTCAGGTCTAGCCTGGTTAACTAATCGCACGGATTAAAATCAAGTAACGATTAGTGTCTGTGTCTGTGTCTGGTGAAGTTATGTAGGGTTCTAAAGAAAAATAAAAAATAAAATAAATATTCACACACTCACATTGGAAATCTAGAGATAGTATGTAATTCATACTTACCAACATAGCTATTAATGGCCCCAATAGTCAACGCTATCAGGAAAGAAGAAAACAAAACAAAAATATCATTATAATAATTCCTGTAATTTTATTAAATAGAGTTTATTGTGTAAGTGTTTCTTTGGCTTTGCGTTGGGGTTGAATACGAGTGGGTTGTGATAACGTGGTGTGTTTATGTGAAGAAGGAGTTTTGTGTTTTTTAATTGTATTTATGGTGTTTCTTTGTTCCTGAGGTCGTATTTGTGAGGTTGTTTGGGTTTTTGGTGGAGATATTGCAGTATTTTGTGAGCCTGTGGTGCTGTTAAGGTTTTTGCGCTTCGGTTGTATACGAGTGGGTTGTGACAATGTGGTGTGTTTCTGTGAAGAAGGAGTTATGTGTTTTTTAAGTGTGCTAGGGCGTGTAACTTTATTCGGTGGACCTGTCTTTGTAGTGCATGTTGCGTTACTTGTATTTATGGTGTTTCTTTGTTCTTGACGTTGTATTTGTGTGGTTGCTTGGATTTTTGGTGGAGATATTACAGTATGTTGTGAGCGTGTAGTTCTGTTAAGGTTTTCGCGTTTCGGTTGAATACGAGTGGGTTGTGATAACGTGGTGTGTTTATGTGAAGAAGGAGTTTTGTGTTTTTTAATTGTGCTAGGACGTGTAACTTTATTGGGTGGACCTGTCTTTGTAGTGCAAGTTTCGTTACTTGTATTTGTGGTGTTTCTTTGTTCTTGAGGTTGTATTTGTGTGGTTGCTTGGGTTTT